TATGAATTTGTCATCTTTCTGTTTTACAGAACTATCCTCTGTTCTGGTGTTATGAGAGAGGGTGAATGCACCATTATTTTTGTACTTCTGTCATATCACCTCATAGCTGATCTCTCAGGTACAGAGTTTCATTCTCTTCAGTCTCTCTACCTCTGAAGCTTCCCATGATGCTGATCACTTTTGTCACCCTTCTGTGTGGTGTATTGAGAAAACAGTTAATTGCGGGCTGTCATTTTCAATTTCAGGGCTTTTTTCCTAGTCTTGTTTGCAAGGTTAGGGGCTCTATGGGGAATTGTCCAATCTGGGGCTAGCAGCAATCAGTAGTATGTAGATGGCCTTCATAAAATAAGGTTTATGATTTGTATCTTTCCACCTTAGGCAGGAATCTGTTTCTCTCTGTTTTGAGATCCTTGTGTGTTATCATTGTGAATTCTAAGAAATAAATAGTGTTATGTTACAAAATTCCAGCCAGAATACTCATGTTATTTGTAACTTAAGTCCTCTCTGCGTATGCTATGAATATAAAACTCCAAAAACCTCTAGCTCTGCAATATGCTTTTGGAGATGTGGTGGCTAGAATTGAATAGTGTGCCAGATGAGGGTGCACTATTGATTTCTGCAGTGGTATTGTAATACTTCCTATATGGTGCTTCCCCCAAGTTCCTTATGCACTATGACATTTTGTATGAGTGGGAATCATCAATTAAACCAGTGTAATCCCATTGATTTCAGTGGGGTTAGTTCTCACTTACAGCATGAGAGGAAAATCAAACCAGAGGCCAAATTCTGAGAGGTGTTGAGAACCGATGTTGCCTATAAGCTAAGTGCTTGGATGGACATTAAGGAGAGATTCAAATGCCATCCAGCTGATTAGCAGAGTGCCCATAGTGCCTGCAGCCAGCAGCGCATGTTTCTATTGGTGGTGTACATCCACACATGCTTTGGGCGCATGTTTCTATTGGTGGTATACATCCACACATGCTTTGGTACACATAACACAATTTATTCCACACATGTATGGCAAAAGTTAGAAGGAACATTGTTAATAACTTGCTTTTTTTTTATTTTTAGCCTGGGCACCTGTCAGGATCTCTGCACATAAGGGAACACCTCCATTGGTGGATAGTCCTATTCCTGGACAGTGGAAGGACTCAGCTGCTTCTAATATCACCTCTTTCTCCTTCAGACTCTTCAGAGATCTTATTACTAACTCCACAGAGCCCAAAGGAAAACCTGAAGAGCTCATAGAGGAGGGGATGGGGGGGGGGGGGGGGGAGGAGGCAGGAGGAAGGGAAGAACACTTTAAAAAAATAACCCCTTTTTTTTTTAGATCTACAGAAACGCCCTTTAAAGATAATGGAGATTCTAGCTCTATTTTTTGTTCAGAGTCCTGTTCCAGGGAGTGCTAAGGGCAGCCCTAACAGTCATTGCTACTTGGGGATATAGTTTTGCAGATATAGAGGACCTCCATGCAGCTGGCTCCACTCTGGCATAAATTCTGTGAGCTCTGCCATGTTTGTGAGTTGTGTGATTAAAAAGTCCTGGAACCTGAAGCTTTTACTTTAATTCCACCATCTCAACTTGTCCCATGGGATGGTGGGTTGTGGAGTTGTCCATGAGAGTGCACTAGTGGAGTTAGTTATCCCTTAGAGTTCTCATCTTGTAAGCATTCAGTCTGAAAATGTTGTCTTACACTTTCTATCACACCTAATCCATGCATGAAATAGGATTGATACTTCTCAACGATGTTGTGGGGGTGCATTATATCAGTCCTTCTGCCACCTACATGAGCTGAGCTGAATGAAGGACATTCTGTATTGATCAGGTACAGAACTTTAACAGTTGGATGCTCTTGTAGTATTAATTTGCTTGCTTTTCTGTATTATAGTTGGATAGGACTATTATTACTTACAGAAGGGACAATAATTTGCTCTTTTTAGTACAAGTTTGACCTTATTAGGTATTCTGTATTCCCTTTCAAGCAGGTTTTAGACAGCAATAAATAATTTGGGGGAAAGCTCAGAAGAATGACACAAAAATAGTAATTCTGGAAGATTGCTTTTATTAGCTTAGGAGCAGAAGATATGCTCCTCCCCATTGAAAGAATACTGAATTTGAGGGGTGATTACTCCTCACAAATACAGAGTGCCATTGATAGAGCTCTGCAGATTTCACCTTCTCATTTTCATGGACTTCACATGCAGACTTTAGATATTTCTTTTTGTGCAGTTCTGTGTCCTCTCAAATATCACCCTTGTAGGACATTGAAAACAAGAAACCAGAAAAGGTCCATATTTCAACACACAAATCTTCCTGATGTGCAAAAAATTAACCTATTCTTGCCTATTGTTCCTTTGAAATAAACATCTGTGTTTTAATTTGTGACTAAAAACTACAAAGACCCAGTAAAAAACTTATTAGTAATAACCCCTAAATACTGTGAGATGTGGCTTATAATCCTTGCTTCTCTGTAATGATTTCCCCCAAATGCGCTTCGAGTTCCTTGCCAAATTTTGCCATGGAAACAGAACATTTTGAGTTAATAATGACAAAGAGTTGCATTCTGAATATTTTTGCAATATAAAGGAACTAGAATCAATTGTTCGCATTAGTCAGTGAAAAAAGAATACAAATTTCTTAAGTGGAAGAAACATTTTTTTCTATGTATAAAATCTTTAACTTCTATTAGAAGTTAGAAGAACAAGCTACAAGGAGAGTTTTGGAAATGACCATCACTGAATGTATTAGAGATGGTGTAATGTATTAAATCATTTCTAACATCTTGAAAATCAAATGCCCCCAGCCCAAATGATCTATGAAACAGTCCCACACGTGTAATGTACTGATAAGAGAGAACAAATTGCTTTGTTATGAGGGAGGGATTCAGGGATACTGCAGAAGAATGCTCAAATGTTATTTGTTTTTCAGCCTAAAATATATCAGGCCTAAAACAACCTAGATTTTGGACTAGGTCCTCAACAATTGTAGAGATCAACTCATTTACTGAAGTAAAAGATTCTGTTGTGACTTCCATCAGTTGAGGGTTCAGCCTTCAGTTATGGGAACCAGAGAGTCACATAGGTTCATGTAAATAAAGGGGTTTTTTTATATTCTCTTAACTCTATCATCAGATTCTTCCTTGAGATCCACTTCTGCCAAGAAGCATACAAAAATAGCCAACTAAAAGATGCTTCTTACTTGGGTTGCCAGCTGTTTAATCACACAAATCCAAAAGCTCTTGCACCACCCTCTGTCACATGCCTTCCTCAATGCCAAGTCCTTTCCTGCCCCTTCCCCAGTGCCCCACCCCCTGCTCACTCCCTCCTCTGATCACTGTCTCCCACCCTCACACATTTTCACTGGGAGGAGAAGAATGTTGATGGGTTCAGAGTGTGGGATGGGGCTCTGGGAGGGAGTTTTGGTGCAAGAAGGCACTCAGGAGCTGGGGCAGAGAGTTGGGCCTAGGAGGGGACTCAGGATGCAGGCGGTGAGGGGGGTTGCTGGCTCCAGGAAGAGGCTTGGGGCTGGAGTAAGGAGGCGTGGTGCAGGCTCTGGGTTGAGGTGAGGAAGGGGGTGAGGCATGTGGGCTGGGGCAAGGGTTCAGAGTATGCGAGGTGATGTGGTGTGCTTGTCTTAGGTGACTCCCTGTCGGTGGTCCAGTGGGGCTAAGGCAGTCTCCCTTCCTGGACTGGCCCCATGCTGTTCTCAGAAGCAGCTTGAATGTCCCATCCTGACAAAGCTATTTCCTTTGAAGTTAATGCTTCTCCATAAGATAGCAGTGATTCAGCTATCTGGGGCAATATCCCTCAGAATTTGCCATAGAGCCATGAATAAACCATGGAGACCTTTGTCGACAACAGACAATAGTCTCTGGGCCAGTTTATTCATATCCAAGTTAAAATATTACACTTGCTTTGCTTAAGTGTAACTGTACCACTGTGTAATGGGTATGTGCACGTAAGGATGTTTGCATATATAATAGGTGTTCGTGTGTGTGTGTGTGTTTAGGGAAATAGTCTGTATTTCTAGATGTATATTAATCATAATCCATTAGAAAAAGTAGCAAAAATGGCAAATCCACTAAGATCCTAATGATTACTAAGTCTTGGGAATACTAGTGTGCACACTTTTGTATTCTGTTGCCCTATGTGTATGCATGACTATTTTCTATTGTAGTAAGGCTATAGAATCATAGAAGAACAGGCAGAAAAGACTCATTAAATCATCTGGTGCTTCCCCTTGCCAGTGCTGAATTCAGATTCCAGTCTGCCCAGTTTAGAATGTCCCATTTTCGGAATGACCACCACTTCTCACGATAAAGCATTCCCTAATCTATCAGATCTTAAAGTACAGTAGGCTTAAAATGAAGCTCTGCTCTGCAAAGTTTTGCTGCTTTAAATACATATGTATGTGAATTTGAGCAATATTGTAAGCATATCAAAATATGCAGTTCAAACATAATTGATTTTGTTAGACTTTGCTGGAAAGTGGAAATACTTTATCAGCATTATAAAGGACAGTCAATTATATGCATAACTTTAAAAGTAAACTGTCAAGTACTTTTCTTGTCATTATTGGTTTCTTCTCTTTTGTAGTATGTTCTTAGAATTTTGAAAGTGAAATTACTTTCCATACCAGTTCCTGTAATACGGTCTTAGAAACTTGAAAGTAAAATTACTTTCAGTACCAATTCCTGAAAAATCTTATTTCCTGCGTGGAGCTTAATATGTACTATTACCTGATCTATTTGCATCTCCTATTTAAGATATCGCTTATAGCAGCCCTGTCAGTCAGTCCTTTACAGATTCAGAAGCAGTATGGGCTTTCTTGCTGTGTGCTGAGCTTGTGTTTGTGAGTGAGGCTTTTTTTTTCACTTCCCCTTCCCCTCCCCCTCTCCTTCATGGAGTGTGTGCTGTGAGTGGCAGGTGGAAACTGTTGGCTTCTAATTAAAGTTTGAATTCTAGAAGCCTCTGCTGATTGGCTAAGCCTTGGTATGGGGAGAGACTTTCAGGCAGTCCAGGGCTTGATGAAGCAGTGAGTACATGACCAAGGAGCTTGCGAACAGGTGAGTGCTAACAGGGAGTTTAGAGAGGGAGTTGGGAAGGGGAGAGGGAAGGGTGCGAGGTTCTCTTGCCTTTCTTTTTAAATCCTTTCTTCAGGACAGAAGGGATGGATGGTGATAGGTCTGCTGTTGTTATCTGCACAGCGTGTACCATGTTTGTCTTCCTCCCGGAAGAAAGAACAGATTTCATCTGCACTAAGTGCAAGCTGCACACCATTTTGGAAGAAAAATTTAGAGGACTGGAGGCCCAAGTGTCGACCCTACGCTCGATCAGAGAGGATGAAGACTTCCTTGATAGAAGGCAGTGTTTTATCCTGCAAGCACGGCAAGTGGAAGAGCCAGAGAAGGCAGTACAGGACCAGGAAGAGAACTGGCAGCATTTAACTTCTAGAAGGGGAAAAAGGCCAGTACGAGAATCCCCCCAGTGCTACAGAGGTAAGTAATCGCTTTCAGGCTCTCTCCACAGGCTCTGCAGTGGTGAATTCTTTGGAAGAGACCTCACAAGGAAGAAACCAGAAGGGAACACCATCTACTGGAAGGCACGGGATGTGTAGTCCTAGGGATGGGTGTTCCATGACCACCACCCCCAAAAGAAGACGATGGGTGGTGGTGGTTGGGGACTCCCTCCTCAGAGGGACTGAGCCATCCCTCTGCCATCCGGACCTGGAATCTCGAGAGGTGTGCTGCTTACTGGGAGCTCGAATTCAGGATGTGACTGAGAGGCTTACCAAACTGATCAAACCTTCAGATAGCTACCCCATCCTGCTTCTCCACATGGGAACTAATGATACGGCCAAGAATGACCTTGAGCGGGTTACTGCAGATTATGTAGCACTGGGAAGAAGGATCCAAGAATTCGGAGTGCAAGTGGTGTTTTCGTCCATCCTCGCTGTTGAAGGGAAAGGACTGGTCAGGGATCATCAAATTGAGGAAGTAAATGCCTGGTTGCGCAGGTGGTACCACAGAGAGGGCTTTGGTTTCTTCGACCATGAGACTCTGTTCCGGGCACAAGGATTGTTAGGAAGAGATGGAATCCATAAATGATCTGGAGAAAGGGGTAAGCAGCGAGGTAGTAAAGTTTGCAGATGATACCAAACTGTTTAGGATAGTCAAGACAGAAGCAGACTGTGAGGGACTCCAAGAAGATCTCACCAAACT